CCCATGATAGATGACTCTGCATAATCTAGGTTGAAATTCCTACAGAAAGACATCATAACTACAGTTCAGAGCACAGATGTTTGGCCTATAAACACAGCAAGGAAAGGGCAATGTAAATGTTAATAAATATTTTCAGTCACTTGGCAAAGCCTTTTATTAACTGTCATTCCTCCACATAAGTCAGAATAAATATATAGTGACACTTTTTATATGATGATGTTTCTTTCCATTGTGATATTTTGTTTATTTATATGCTTTTTATAAAAAAATTTTTTTCTGGTAAAAATAAAGGAGAAAGAAAATTGCCTAATATTTTATAGATAATAGATCCAAGCATATCCTTGTTAGTAAGGATCTAAATGATACCGGAAACACGGGACTTGTCTCTTGTGTGCAAGACCAGAGGCAACACGGGTCAGTACGAATGGGAAGGTGGCAAGACTCAACCTTACGATAAGGAGTTGAGGTGGCTCTTATGTAACAGAGAGCTCTTGATTGGGAATCACGAGAACCTTAGAGGTCTTAGGGTTCATGTATTTAATGAACACTCCTGATATTATGGTCTGGGAACCAGCTCCTACAAGCTGTCCATTGATGAGAGAGAGAGAGAGAGGAGAGAGGTATGGAGTGCTTCAGGCTTCATTATTAGAGAAGGAAGACTTTCAGTAGCATAAGATGGTTTTAGCAGTTTGTGTGCTAATCTGTAAAAAGAGGGCAGTGAGCTAATGTCTCTCTTCATCTCCTTCAGCTGTCTCGAGTCTACAGCATGTGCTCCCTCAGCATTACTTATTCAGGGACAGGAGTTTAGACAGACTACAGAAATGCTGAGAATAGCTCCTGCATCTTTTTACATTTTTTTTTTTTGTGTGTGTCTTAGGCATTTAGAAGATTTAATCCAAGATCTAAGCAATCTTACTTTTAATACAGTGAGTGAATGTGTGTGCCTTCATGGTAGCATGTTTGCTGTGAATCAGTGTCCATCTGGGGAAAGAACAGCTCAAGAGAAATGGATGAGTTAAGTATTCTCTTTACTGGAAAGTGTCTGTTTGGAAGTCGTTAAGTGTTTAAGTCTGTAGGTCAGCTTTTTTCTCTAGTGGTTGACAGAGTGAGTGTAACTTTATTGGATTAGCTATACTTACCATAAAAACTCATTTTGAAGTATATTAAATTATTTTCAATTTAATGAAAATTATTCAAAGAAATTTGTATATCCCACAAAAGATTATTGATTACTTGCTTTTTTTCATTGTTTTTAGTTTATTTCAGCTTAGTTTCCTAGAACTAATAATTTGGAAATGAATTTAATTAATCCTTATTCAGAGTTAGGAGTTATTATGCTGTGCCCTGAAGACAAAATCCAGCCTAAAATCTGTTTTATAAATAAAGCTTTTTTTGTTTTGTTTTGTTTTGTTTTGTTTTGTTTTTTTTGAGACAGGGTTTCTCTGTGTATACCTGGCTGTCCTGGAACTCACTCTGTAGACCAGGCTGACCTTGAACTCAGAGATCTACCTGCCTCTGCCTCTGCCTCCTGAGTGCTGGGATTAAAGGTGTGTGTCATCAGTGCCTGGCTATTTTATAAAGAAAGTTTTAAAAGCATTTTATGAAGCAAGTTGGATTTTTTTAATAAAGATATTTAATATGGGCTTAAGCTTGAAGATTGGGAGGAAAAGAGACACTCAGAAGACTATAAGATATATTACATGTGAGTATGGACTGGCCAAGGGAGAGGTACCATGATAAAGTTTTGTTTGAACACGGTCATATTAATTTTCAAATGTATTTTTTGCTACTTTTTTTAAAATAATTTTTAAAAATGTAATTAAAATATAAGTACATCATTTCCCCCTTTCTCTTTCATGCTTCTAACCCCTCCCAGGTAACCCCTGCCTACTCCCTCTCAAATTTATAGACTCTTTTTCTTTGATTATTATTGTTATATAATATATATATGTTATATCTAACATACAGTTATGTTATATAACAATAATAATATATTCATATACGTATGAATAAGTATGTAAATACTACCTGCTGAATCTATTTACTGTTGCTTGAATGTATATACCTTCCAGGCTGACAACTTGGTGCTAGACAACCAATTGGGGAAGGTCTTGTCCCGGGGGAAGACTGATTTTCCCTCTCTCGACAGTTGTTAGTTGCCTATAGCTCTTCGCCTAGGGGTGGGGCCCCTTGAGATTTCCCCTTCCATATCTTTGCATGTATTAGTGTTGTTATTGTTTGAGGCTTTATTTATGCAGCCATACTGTTGCAGCATCATGAGTGTAGCTTCTCTGTTGTTTCTCAGAGACATAGTCTTACAGAAGACTTTCCATTCCTTTGCCTCTCAGCAATCTTCCCATTCCCTCTTCTGTGATGGTCCCTGAACCATAGATGCAGGAGTTGTACTATAGAGGCATCCATTAGGATCAGGCACCATGTAGTCACTTGCTCTTGTTATTTTGACTAGTTGTGATTGCCTACGATGGTCTCCTCCTATTTCAAAGAAAAGCTTCTTTGATGAAGGGCGAGAGCTACAGTTATCTGTGAGTATGGCAGGTATTTAGAGTGTAGTTGGGAATAACGCTGGTCTAGTAGTGTATCTTAGAAGATCCATGGCTTCACTTGCCTTCTGTGATTTCTCTCTTGCTATGTGGGCCTCAAGTCCAATTAGACAGGTGTTTGTTGGTTACTGCCAAGACGTAAGAGGCATTATTGCACTTTTAGGTATAGCTTGTCAATTCAATCATTGTTTTGGTTCATAAGCATTACAGCTGGGTAGGACTATAAATTTCCTCATTTTGGCAATTTGCATGACACCTTCAGATTTTGTTGTTGTTTTGAGACAGTTTCCCTGTATACCCCCCTGTGTAGTCAGGCTGGCCTTGAACTGAGAGATCCATCTGCCTCTTCCTCCCAACTGCTGAGATTAAAGGTGTGCACCACCCTGGCTGGCTCATTTCTACTTTTTAAAACAGGGTAGCACTCTGTTGTCTGAGCCTGTAGTTACTTCCTTTTAGCAGTAGGTAGGACTCTGAGCAGATTTGTACCAATTCTACTGTGATCTTAAGTCATATAATAGAGAGTGTTGGTGGTGGTATTGGGGGCAATTTCTGAAGAGTGCGGCTATCTCTAGTCATACGCCACTCCGTAAGTAACCCCTAGTAAACTTATTTTATTCACAATGGTATTGTTTGAGGCACTTTTTGTGATGCCGGTGCTGGCTTAATTTAGGGTCAGATTTTAATTTTATATCTTCCTGGAAAATCAGTGTACAGTTACTTTCTTGATTTGGTTTTTTGAAGATAACCAACTTTAGAGAATCAAATACATGCAGCTTCTAATATGACATGCTAGCAATTATAGTAGGGTGTAGGATCATCAATATGGAAATTCTTAAGGTTGATCCAAATAACACATTTACAATGTTCTTTAAAACATCTTAAAAGTGTGTGTGTGTGGTGTGTGTGGTGTGCATGTGCCCACAGAAGCCAAAAAAGGGCATCAGATCTAGATCTGGAGTTACAGAAACCAAACTTGAGTCCTTTGGAAGAGCAGCAAATGTCTCTTAAACATGGAGAGATCGCTCCATTCCCTATTTAATATAACCATTAAATGATGATACTTAAACCAAATTATAAACAGCTTTATTTCAGCATTGACAATTAAGCCCAGATACTGACATGTGCTCATCAAGGGCTCCGCCACTGATTTATGTCCCAGACCCAGACAACTATTTTCTCAGTATGTAAAGATTTGTTTTGTGTTTCGAAGTGAACTGTATCTTTTCTTTAAGATTAAGTAATGTGAACCAGGTGTGGTACCTGTGAGACGCTGAAACAGGAGGATTACCATGCTTTAATTGAGCTTAAACTACATAGTCTGATCCAGACCATCTTGGGCTATATGTGGGACTGCCTCACATAAAACAAAATGAAACAAAACAAAACAACTCCCCTCCCCCAAATCAAACCAAGTCAAAAAACAAACAAACAAACAGACAAACAAACAAACCAAAACAAAAAAACTCCTTAAAATACATACTTTAGATTAGTTGTGATTTCTGGGAAAGCTACAATTTTAGTGGTGCACCTCTGTTTGCTATGACAAATATAGAATATAAGATTCGTGAAATCAGCCATTTTACCGAGGTTTTTGTTGTTTAGAATATGTAGTTAGAATTGTAAGTTAGAAAATGATAAATGAGGAGACCTGTTTTCTCGTGAGTCATGGAAAAGGGATTAATTACTAATATCTGTTAAAGCAGGGTAGGATGTATTGGTTTAAATGTTACAGTAGAAAAGAATTCAAAGGATTAGATGGTGAATATGTTGGTTCATGATAACTTTGTCTTCTTGATTACTTGTAGACGTTTTAATTATGAATAATTTCAGTTTTTTCTGTATTTTAAAGTTATATCCAAAACAAAGTTGAAATCATTTTCTGTTTGGTATGTGTTGTCATGATTTCATAAGTTTATGAACTCTTCAACCTAATTTTTGTTCTGCAAATGATGAAAATCAGATTAAACAATTTGTTTAAATGCCTTGTAATTAGGGAAGTTACTTTTTAAAAAAATGATTTATTTTTATTTTATGTATATCAGTGAACACTTATGTCTGCACATAGACCTCTCTGCACTTATTTCTGTGTGAGGGTGTCTGGTCCTCTGGAACTGAGATTATAGACAGTTGTGAGTGTGACATAGGTGCTGAGAATTGAACCAGGGTCCTATAGAAGAACATCCAGTGTTCTAAACCACTGAGTTCCATCTCAAGCTGCAGGAAGTTACATTTTTATATGAACAAATTGGGAGGGAAAACTCCAGCTTGATCACCAGCTTGATCTTGAAGTTGACAGAAAACAATGTCCACAGAGAAAAGCAGTTTTCATCCTTAAATCATTATAAATTCAATTAAAAATTAATTTTCTAAATACTTTTATACAAAGAAGAGGGTAAGATAAACTAACTCATATTTGTTTTTGTCTTCTTTTCCCAATAGGATCAGCAATATTACCAGTCCTTTCAGGTTTTAGAATATGGTAAGAGTTATTCTTTCTTTTGAAGGAAAATTTTCACTTATTACTTTATATAGATATGAAAAATTTTCAAGAGACATGTAATAAAAATCTCAATAAGGATATAACTTTAGTATTCATTCTAGGATTAAACATTCCTTTGCAAGTGTTTCGAAATTACATTATAAAGCAAAAAGCAGGCAATATATGACATTCTACAATGCCAGTTTTTTCTTGGGACCCTTTTTCTTTTTCTGTTTTTTTTTTGAGATTTACTTATTTTTATTTTATGTGTATGACTTTTACCTGTCATGTATGTCCATGTACCACATGTGTGCTGTGCCTGTGGAAGCCAGAAGAGGGCGCTGGATGCCCAGAACTAAAGCTACAGATGCTTGTGAGCTGCCACGTAGGTTTTTGGAATCATTCCTGGTCCTCTGGAAAGCCAGTCAGTCCCTTAAAGGCTTAGCTGTCTCTCCAGCTTCTGGTTTTTTGTTTTTGTTTTTTTTTGTTTTGTTGTTGTTTTTGTTTTTTGTTTTGTTTTTGTTTTTGTTTTTGAGAAGGAATCTCTTTGTGTAATGCTGTCTGTGTCTGGAACTTGCTTTGGAGAGCAGGCTAGCCTCAGATTTACGGTTATTCTCTTATCCTGGCCTCCCAAACACCTGTCTCCCCTGTACTTATAAAGTATTATGCCGGGCGGTGGTGTCGCACGCCTTTAACCCCAGCACTTGGGAGGCAGAGGCAGGCGGATTTCTGAGTTTGAGGCCAGCCTGGTCTACAGAGTGAGTTCCAGGACAGCCAGGGCTACACAGAGAAACCCTGTCTCGAAAAACCAAAATATTATTTTTTGACTTTGAATAATGAACATTGGACTTGAGGATGTGGTTCAGTTCCCAGGACCACAAACACCTAAATTATCGAATTGACACGAGTTACTTTCCATATATCTTTATTTGGTCGACACAGTGGAGACAGGGTATTTAGCTAAGGTAGACCATCTTCCTGCAGGCACCATAGTGCCTTTATAAGCACGCAGGTGAAAGCAGTGGCCGGCTGTTCTCGGTGGGTAGAGAGAAGGCAGACATGAGTAAAAGCATAAGGCCCCTCTTAAGAGCTGATAAATTAGTGTCATTGAGCTTGTAGATGAGTTCTTTAATTTGATTTTTGCAACCCTTTGTGATCACTTTTAATCTGGGCAGAAGAGTTCTGAAACAGAGTTTGTTACATCTTTGTGATTCCAGCTCCTCTGTTTCCACGGTACTTTCTCATCCATGTCACGGCCTGGAACAGGGACCAGCAAAGTATTTTCCTGCGATGGAACTGAAAGTAGTATTTTGGTCTCTGTATGCCACAGTATTTGTTTTAGCTGCTCCTCTGCATCTCTATAGAATGATAGTGCACACAGACAACACACAAGCAAATGCCACCGTCATACAGGAAACTGGGCATCACCATACATTTCCCTTTTGTTTTTTTTCCAACCAATTAAAATGAGTAAAAGCTACTGTTAGCTGATGCTGGCCATACAGTCCTGAAACTCCTTAGCTGGAATTTTATGTGTCACCCAGAGCCCCTCACCATATATAGGTATACAGATACAGACATGTATCTGGTTTCAATAGAGATGTGTTATACACGTAAAATTCATCCCAGATTTCTAACATTTAGTGCAAGAAAAAGAAAGTTCATTAATAATATGTTTTAAATTTTGGCTAAATATTAAAGCAAAAGGATTTTAGACAAGTTAAGGAAAATATTGCAAAATTTATTTTACCTGTTTATTTTTTAAAAATGTGGTTACTAGAAATGGAAAATTAAATGTGTGGCTCATATTTTATGTCCTTTGGTCAATACTCTAGAAGAATATTTTTTTTTTTTTTTGAGAAAGGATATCACCGGGTAGTCTCCGCTCCTTGGAACTTGCTAAGTAGACCAGGCTGGCCTTGAACTCATAGAGATCCACCTGTATCTGCTTCCCAAGTGTTGGGATTAAAAGTGGTAAGCCACCATGGCAGGCACGATCAAAATTTTTGTGTGTTTTACCTTGTTGGTGCTGGGTGGTTACATGTCCTTGATGAGGTACAGTTGTGGGGTGATTGGTGAGCAGCCTATAGTATTTGAATAGAAAGCCTTTGGATTCTTTGGAGAGGTGTGTGTGTGGGCGGGTCATAGTTGTCCTATGTGACTTTTTTGAGCCTCCCTTCTAGACTGGTTTAGAGCTTATCAGTGCCCTGGCACATTCAGTGTCTTTGGCCCCATAGGTTTGGGGTGTTTTACTGACTTATCAACCTTTTCAGCATTTATCTTATGTAAATTGCATGGTGAGGTCCCTTATAGGAGTCTCATGTGTTTCTTTGATCAGTGACATTATGAAAACATTTCTGTAGGCTCAAACCAAAACCACAAACATTTTTATTGTGGTAGGGTACTTTATTTAAAGTAGTATTAATTGCAAAAAATTTTATGGGAGCTGTTGAGATGGTTCATTTGTCAAGAATGTTTCCTGTTCTTGTAGAGGACCTGGGTTTGGTTCCCAGCACCCACAAAATGGTTCATAAGCACTTGTAACTGCAGTTCTAGGAACTCCATGTCCTCATCTCTGCAGACTCCCCTTGCACACGTGGAATGCACACATGCATACTCTCTGGTGCTCACACACATGCAAATGGATAAGTAAATAAACACATTTAAAGCAGCAAACAAAACACCATTCCGTTATTATATAATGTTGATCTAAGAAAGGATATCTGATTGAGTTACATAAGGGGCTTTCAATTTATGTTAACACGTGGATCCTAATAAAGTCAAGTTCAAGAAATACCAGTTTTCAACTCACGAGGACAACTCTTATTTTTGTGTGCATCAGCTGCAGACGGTGGTAAAATAGATTCCTTCAATAGACTGGTTTTCCTTCACAGTGTTACCGAAGTTTGAAGTTACTCTGCAGACACCGCTTTATTGTTCTTTGAAGTCTAAGCATTTGAGTGGCAGCGTCACAGCTAAGTAAGTTGCATTTGTCTTTTGGTCTGGCTCTAAACTGTTGTGAAACAGCACGACAAAAACCTCCATACATGGGCTGGAGAGATGGCTCAGTGGTTAAGAGCACTGACTGTTCTTCCGAAGGTCCTGAGTTCAATTCCCAGCAACCACACGGTGGCTCATAACCATCTATAATGAGATCTGAGCGACATTGTACTCACATACATAAAATAAATAAATATTAATAAACCCCTCCATACATACTTAAGAGTACTAGCACAGGATTTTCCTTTAAAAAAAACCTCAACTCTATAATAATCAACCATCTGCAATACTTCATTTAGCACAATACAGATGTCCACAGGGCTTTACATCTGTAACTTTACTTCAAGCTGTCATTCCTAAAATATTTCCCACAGACTTTTTAGTAAGGAGCTTATAGAATGCATTGTCACGTTTCTAAAGCATTGGGAACTTAGGGGCTGGGGAGATGGTTCAGAATGGGAAAAAAAGTCTTAACCACTGAGTCATCTTTCTGTAGTCTCTGCTTCACATTTAAGCCAAAATTAAAATAAAATTGCCTTTGAGAATACATTAAGTTATTATTTTCAAGCATGCTGAACTATCATATGATACAACAATTTTAAAATATAATATCTTGGCATTCTGGTTTTGCCTTTAATTAATAGTTAACAAGACACAGGCCATGTTAGGTGCCGAGGGCTCAGGTGAGTGATTTTGATGCTGTGGTTCTCAGTCAGGTCCCCACTAACTTCACTGCTTTTGTTTCGAAGGATGGTATATTTGAAGGTGAATATTTTTTCTTTCTCTTAATTTGGAAAGTTCTGCATTTGCTTTGGAGTTGGCCCAGAGGAAAGGTTATTTCTGTGTCCAATTAACAGATTCAGGAAACATCAGTTTACTATTACAATTTGAACTGCAGAGCAAAACTGGCTTTAAGGGTTAGCCCAGTGTTTGAAATAGAGATGGAAGAACCCATTTTTAAAAAGACTTTTTGGCAGTAAAATGATTTACTGAAGATCGCCTTTCCTTTACGTGAAGAAATGCTCCATTATGAGGAGTAATTAAGGAAATAAAATTAAGACTGTGAAGTGACAGAGAATTCAGTTTGACACAAGAAGATGAGTTTGAAACAATGCTTAAAAAGTTAGTTTTTAAAGTTTCCTTGCTTAAAGAAAATCAAATTGTTTTTGGTAGACATAAATGCATTTGGTACTCTATAGTTTAAGGTCTGATACTACCTCCTAGAGTGTCCCGGGATGTGTGACAGTTGCCTATGGTAATTATAACTTCCATTAACATCCAAACATTTTTACAGGTGTGAAGTTTGTAGACATTCAGGTGATGGCCACTCCAGGTTTCTAGTGTTGAGAGCTTTTTCTAGTTTTTTAGAAGCTGTGCCTTTCCGTAATGTTCACACTTCCTCTGTGTCCTCTCAGTGGGTGGAGGCTGTGGATAGGCAGCATTTGAGCTGATTTTAGATGCTTTAATTCAGAATTTCATTTGGAAACCTAACCTGAAGAATCTCTATTTGTTATGAATGTTCTTTGTTCTTTGTGCTTTTGTTGTTGCTTTATGTTTTCTTGGGACAGATTGTTGAGAAGTAGCTCAAGCCGGCTTTGAACTTGTCCCATCTCAGCCTCCTGACTGCTAGGATAACGGTGCTACATGGGAGACTTGTACCTTTTTTATTTTTTAAATTTTAGGAGAGGTGTACTTTTAATGTAATTCTTCTCTGTTGAATTGCTAATGTATGCTTATTGAAAGTGATGTTTTTTATCGTGTTCCTCTGACACCACTGAGTTGAAATGTAATAATACAATATTTTAAAAATTGTTTTCAGGTATACATATGGGAAGCCAGTGAAGGGGAGTCTGTCACTTACATTTTTACCTTTATCTTTTTGGGGAAAGAAGAAGAATATCACAAAAACAATTGAGGTAACTTTTGCAGATCTTTCGTAATCTACAAAAGGGACAATTCAATCTCAATTAAAAAAATAACTATAGGACCCAGTGGGGTGTGGTGGCACACACCTATTATTCCAACCCTCAGGGAGGTGGAGAAAGGAGGGTAAGTAGTTCAAGACCAGCTTTAGCCATCTAGCAAATGTGAGGCCAGCTGGTGAAGGAACAAACAATAGAAAATAATTACAGGAAAAACAGGAGAATGTGGTATTTAAACCCATTTTTAATATAATGTGGCACAGATGTGGTAAATAATTTTTTTTTTCCTTTTTTTTTTATTGGATGATTTATTTACATTTCCTATGTTGTCCCCTTACCCCATCCCCCACCACCCCCTATGATGTGGTAAATAATTATGATTCAGATCACAGTGTGGAAAATTAAATTTTTTTCTAAAAAAGCTTGGTATAGCCTTACTAAAAGAAGTCTGTAAGAAAATCTAGAACTTTCTAGCATTAGATGAAAGAATAAAGAACTATCCAATATAACTGAGTGTGAGTTTTGTTTCTAGAATTTGAATTCCTAAAGTGAAATGTAAAATGGATTTTTTGAACAAAACAGATAAATGGATTCGCAAACTTCTCTTTTGATACTGAGGAGATGAAAAAGATAATGAATTTGAAGAAGGTAACAGATCTCTTGGAAGACAGTTATGAGCATGTGGACCCATCCTTCCCTGGGCCCGCAGAGATTGTAGCTACTGTGACGGAATCACTCACAGGTTTGTAGCCTCAATGAAGGTAAATTTTTTGCTGCCTGTTACCTGCTTACTGTGCTGGCAGGTATCAGGAGAGGGAATTCAGTGCTTTTTCTGGGGAGCTTGTTTGATGCTGAAGACTTTAACTTGTAGAGTGCTTCATAAAACAGTGAAACCTGGACTTCAGCTTCATATGATAATAGTCGCTATTCGATTTTCCCTCCATTTCAACTCTGTTTTTCTAGCCTGAGAAACACACAGGGGGCCTGCATTTTCAATGAACTAGCTGGCTTCCTCTTCTTTCTTTTCTCCTTCTCCTTTTCTCCTTCTTTCTTTTCTTCACTCCTTACTTTCTGGACAGTTTACTCTTTTAATAAGAATGTTAAGAGTTAGTTGGAACCTTGTATTACTATTTCAACAGATTGATTCAGTTGACCCAACAAACAAAACCTATTCTGTCTGTGCTTTCTCCTCCTAGTGTACGCCACCGAGAGAGAATAGTATGCTAAACTTTTGTCTTTCTTTTGGGATCATAGTCAATAACAGGAGTGAACTTATGTGCCCTGATATCTTTAGTCCCTTCGGCAAGAAGCTTAGGTGGATACATCCCACTGGTGAAAAAGTACTTTTACAACCTAAATGATGCAATCCCCAATACAGGTATCTCAAGAAAGGCAAGTACCAATGTGTTTTTCAAGCAACATGATTACATCATTGAGATTTTTGATTATACGACTGTCTTGAAGCCATCTCTCAACTTCACAGCTACTGTAAGTGGGTGTATTTATTACTAAGCACGAATCCTGGAGAAACGTGGCAGACCGAGAGACCACGTGCTCTGTGTCTTTAAGTAAAAGAGGAGATGGCTTACTTTTCCCCTTCAGAAATATGAATGTGGTTGGATGGTGGTGGCACAACCATCCCAGCACTTGGGAGACAGAGGCAGGTGGATCTGAGTTCAAGGACATCCTGGTCTATAGAGCAAGTTCTAGGACAGCCAGGGCCACATAGAGAAACCCTGTTTTGAAAAACAAAATGAAAAAAAAGAAAGAAAGAAAAAAGAAGAAATATGAACGTGGATAATTGCTTCCAAATGACCTTTGTCTAATATATTTTTTAAAAGTATCAAAACAGCTAATTTTTTCCAAAAATTTACTTAACTAGCAGTTCATTTGATATGAATTACAACATTAAAGCTTTTGTTAATGAAGAAATGACTGCCAAAATTTTTAGTTTGATGTTAATTTTTAAAAAAGATTTATTTATTTGTTTTATGTATATGAGTACACTGTTGCTCTCCTCAGACACACAAGAAGAGGGCATCAGATCCCATTACAGATGGTTGTGAGTCATCATGTGGTTGCTGGGAATTGAACTCAGGACCTCTGGAAGAGCAGTCAGTGCTCTTAACCAATGAGCCATCTCTCCAGCCCACCGATGTTAATTTTTATAAGGACTACATTTTAATTTCATCAAAGATATAGAATTTAAAAATTATCACCAAGGATACTCTCTTTTCCAGAGAGAATGTAGAATTAATATTTATTATTTGAGTAAATTGAAAAAAGTAAACTAGGAAACACCCAAAATACTGTCCTTCTTTTATGACTGTCCTTCATTTATGTCCATTTTTATGACATTTACGTCTTATAGGACATTTAGTCATTCCTCATATTTATGCTCCATCTCTCATTGAGTGGATTCTGTCAATGTGTAGGAAGGACGTGGTATTTATGAAGCTACGGGAGACCCAGGAAGGGAGCGTTAGCTTTGCAGGTGGAGATGGAGGTTATTAAGGGTGCCTTATGGAAGAGGGAGCCTCGAATGATGAATGACAAGATTTGTAGTGTTTTAAACGTTGGAGCACGTGGGTGGGAGGCAGGGAGCAAGATGGGATAGTGCAAAAGGGGCTGCAGTTAGCAAGAGCAGAGCGCATTCAGAAAAGTGACCGGACCCGTGCGTTTGCCGCAGAGGTCTTGGCCTGATTTAACAGGAGGCAAAGCTTAGGAAACTATGAGGTCCTGTGCTGCAGAGGGTCTCCTGGATAGGTTGAACTTTATTCTCTCTAGGCAGTGAGATCTGGAGCCTATGAACACAGGTGGGGTGGAATGTGTGTGTGTGTGTGTGTGTATGTGTATGTGTTTGTGTGTATGTGTGTGTGTGAGGGTTTGTGTGTATGTGTGTGAGGGCTTGTGTGTATATGTGTGTGTGTGTTAAGGGTTTGTGTGTGTGTGTGTGAGGGTTTGTGTGTGTTGAGGGTTTG